TGTACTTGTTATACATAGCCGTTACTGCGATGAACTGTACTTGCTATACTTTTACTGTACTTGTTATACATAGCCGTTACTGCGATGAACACCAAGTACACAAGTATGAACTTACTAATAAATTACTATGCCTTACTGTTCCCTGGAACGTGGCAAGTGAACTTACTATACTTCCTATACCTACTATACTTCCCATACTTACTATACTTGCTCTATACTTGCTATACTTACTGTACGCGCTATACATAGCCGTTACTACGATGAACACCAAGTACACAAGTATGACCTTACTAATAGTTACTCTGCCTTACTGTTACCTGGAATATACTTACTATATTTGCTATACTTACTGTACTTGCTATACATAGCAGTTACTACGATGAACACCAAGTACACACGTATGAACTTGCTACCAGTTACTACGAGCTTACTACTAGTTACTATGCCTTACTGATCCCTGGACCGTGGCATGTATACTTACTATATACTTACTATACTTGCTATACTTACTGTACTTGCTATACTTACTGTACTTGCTATATACTTACTATGCATGGAATCCCGCAAAGTCGCTGCAACTGACACTGTTTACACGGGTTGGATTTGGAACTGGTGATCTGTTTGTTAACAGCTGCATGTACGGACATGGCCTGGACTCATCTCACCATTCTCATCATCATTCCGCTACTAACATGATCAAATCATGATCAAATCATGACCAAATCATGATCAAATCATGATCAAATCATGATGATGATGATCATCATCATCATCATCATCATCATCATCAACAACAAATCTGCATCATCATAATAATCATCACCAAGTCAACATAGCTGTATCTAGACTGAAAGATGACTCAAATACAGCTATAATGGCATCAACAAAGGCTGTATTTGAGTAAGTATAGTAAAACAGTCCATCTCCTAGTGCAATAGTCAATTATAGCTGTATTTGAGTCATCTTTCAGTCCAGCATCACCATAACACAACCTTAGGCTTTCAGTGGGCCTGAGTCCATTGGGCTTTGTGAGGGGCACATGAAAAAAATGACAGCTTGCTGAGACAGAAGAGCTCCTAGAGGGATGGTATAGCAAAAGGCTATACGATCAATAGCGACTCAAATCTATACAGATGTGTTGCGTTGTGATTCTATATTTAGACTTCTTAAGGTCATAGTGAAGGAGCAGGAAAGAGGCTGGGGGAGAGGAGGAGTGCTGCATAAGGCAAGCAAGTGAAGACAAAAGAACCATGGACAAAAGAAGCAAAAAAGAAACTGCCTCTCTCTCTCTCTCTCTCTCTCTCTCTCTCTCTCTCTCTCTCTCTCTCTCTCTCTCTTTCTCTCTCTCTCTCTCTCTCTTTGTGTGTGTGTGTGTGTGTGTCTGGAATTTTTTTTTTTTTTTTTTTAATTAATGTGGACCGATAGACCACGGATCTGATATTAAACTGATCAGATAACACCGATACACTGCACTTTATCTATTTTCATCCAAAAGGCAA